ACTCAATGTACTACAAATACAATAGTGCAATGATAAAAATCAAGCTTTAATAAAATTCAAATTGATCATTTTTCACCATGTATGTTCAAAAACAAAAGTTTTACTTCATGAAAATTACACTCAAATCATCAATGGAAACTATTTCTCATTCAAAAACAAAATTTACTCATCTAAAAAGTAGCAACATATTTGGTGATCTAGATTAAAAAACATTCTGCAGATTCTGAACCAGTCTATACAAGACTTTGAGAGATAGTCGTCAGCCTTCAGTGTAGCGCAATATATTCTGAAATCAAATTAGATAAAAATACATGTTCAGATGTTTCTCACTTTCAATCCCTCTTTTTCATCATCGTTCGTCAAAAATTCATCCATATTACGCACGACATGGTTAATCGGCTAAAAGTCGACGTAATCCTTCCTAATCCTAGTTTCATTAGAGTATGAACATTCGAGTTGATCGTTGCTTTTAGTAGCTATGTCATGATTGCATCAAAGACAATATATATGTGACCAAAGAAGTATATGTGGATCGGTATGAGAGTCAAGGCATATCAAGCAAGTGATCAAATCGCTGATCTGTTCGTTTTCTTGGTGAGAGAATAGTTTTTCTACCTGAATTACTTGATGCCATGTCAAGAATCAATAATGAGATGATTGAAGCGTAGTTTAACCTAAAAATAAAATAAAAAATACCTCAAGTTTAGTCGATGATGATGATAATATTCAAGTGTGAAAATAAAACTAATTTTGGTGTCACCTCTAAAGTGTAAGATGGATGTAGGTGTGGGTCTTTTTTTTCATCCACACCCTATTATCACGTATCTTTCTTTGAATAATAGGTTTTGGCCTGCATTTGTGCAGAGTAATTTTCGACCAGAAGCTTCTTCACTATTACTCTTACCTTACACCCGAAATTTATCATTGTGTCCGTGTTTTTTTCAGAGTGTAGTCCCATCAAATTTGCAGTTATATTATATTTAATTTGATTTCTTATCTATTTACTAATTGAAATTGTTGAATAGAGTAGGTCACAATAATAGGTAGAAAAATCATAATAGATGTAGAAAATGTCATAGAATTGACATGAATGAAAAAAAATCAAACAAATTGAAACTATTACGAAATAGTGAATGAACACGACCAGTAATCTAATATACATTAACAAATCGATCGTCTTAAGTAGAATCGATCATAAATACCAGTGTCATATCTGTCTCAAATCTTTTTCAATATTCGTGGCGTCTTGGCGATAATTGTATAGCATTCAAAATAGTCGTTTTTTCTTTTCGAATCTTCCTAATAATTTACTTACTTCAGTCAAATAATTGAAGATGAAACGCTCTACGTAATTTCAATAATATCTAACTGTGGATGAGAAGTTTTTGCGTCTTACACCGTTTACTCGTTTTTTTTTAAAATGATTTGTTTTTTCTGCAGCATGGCAGCGTTGTGCGTCCCGTTTATTGCTTGTTTACCTGCTTTTTTTTCCGTTCTTGTCAAACTTGTTTTCAAGTGTGCGCGCTATTGAGAAGCATTGCACATAAGAACAACAAAACATTCCTGGCAGAGTAGATGACGATTGGTGACAAAGAAATAGAAGAATACTTACATTTTTCATCCAACGAAATTCGTTTCATACGAAATACACAAATCGATATTCATTACTGTATAATATGCAGTGGTTGAGATAGTTCAAAAATAGACAATAAATTGCTATGAAATATTTCTCATTGCATTTCTATTCGACGATTTGATTATTGATAGTTAATAGAGCATCACTATTCTAAAAAAACCTATTATTGTAACCCTTTTTGGCCTGAAAAGTGGGGTGTGGGTGTGGGCGGATGTGGATGTGGGTATGACTGAAGAGAAGATCCACACCTACACCCACACCCAATTTTGTTTTAAAAAATCATCAATTTTTCAGACCCGATATTTCAAAGATGGAGCAATAAAACCAAATACTCTTTTTATCAATTGATAGTCTATGAAGTTCACTACAAAACAGATTTGTATTGTTTCTGAATCTGATGCTTGCTTTAGTTTCTGCAAGTGTTCTACAAAATGGGCATTCCAGTGACCAAGACGGATGGGTAGAGGGCTGCCTTAACAACGGTGGGAAAATAAGTTGCTTCCCCCTTCCATTGTCTTTTTTGTTCAAAACTGGAATTTTTTTTCGTACACAAAGATAATAAAAAAATATATATAATGTGATTTTCCAATAACTCCTTCTCAAGAAGATGATGTTAGTGAAATTCCAAATTCATTAGAATAAAATTTTGTATCTTCAATCGTACTTCAACCTGTAAATAATGTTAATTGAAAGATTAATAATAACGGGTGGGCCAGAAGAAATTGCCGGCTTTTCATAGGCTGTTTTCTCAAGTCAGACTTGATGAGAAAGTTTCATTCTAATGTCAAAAGATAGAGAATTTTGTGTAGATTTTATTGATATGTTCGTTGCGAAATGAACATTTGTTCTTCTCTTGTAGCATTAATGGTATTCGATACCACAAAAACATCATTTGCTCAGCATTTTACTGAAATAAAGGGTTAGTTTTCTTTGTTAAATGATTTTACATTCACTATTCAAATGTAGTGTCATAAAGCACAGAGGCGTATCTGTTTTTGAGACCCAATACCGAATCTGGAGACAAAGTTTCGTCATTAGAAAAACCGCTTGCAAAAAATGCCTAATTGTCCAACTTTGGTGCCTTTTTATATCAGGCAAAAGATCTCACCCTCATTACTAGTTTAGAAAAGGAATTCAGCTCTTATAATGAGGAGCATTTTGTAGAGCTTGAAATTCTACACCTGTTAACATAAACAGAGTAGTTTTTTGTAAAACTAAATTTAGAGAAAATTGGCAACGAAAAGTACGATTTCGTTGACCGAGGGTATTTTCTTAATATTTTGTGTTTTTTGAAGCGAAAACAATTAAGCTTAAAAAATCAAGACACCACTAGGTACACCGAAAAATTCTGCATCGGTTAGTAACAAGAAGAAATTTTTGAACTACAACTAACTGCGCAAAAATTTGAGTTCAAAAGTGTCTCACTTTGCAGTTGGGCAAATGATGTTTGCGTAGTATCCAGTTCCTTTAATATTACAACAGAAGGACAAATGTTTATTTCGCAACGAACATATCAATAAAATCTACACGAAATTCTCTATCTTTTGACATCAGAACGAAATTTCCTCATCGAGTCTAACTTGAGAAAACAGTCTACCAAAAGCCGGCAATTTCTTCTGGCCCACCCGCTACAATATACGTGTAATAATATTGCTTGGTTTTTTATACTGCTTGTCAGGAAATTTTACTATCAGTCCTTTATTAGAAGTAATTGGCAAATGCTTCTGTGAATGAAAATGTCAGTGAATGGTTTCTGCTTTTCAAAAATAACTTTCTAGTTTTTCTCCTGGTTTAAGAACCAAAACTCCTGGTGAACTCCTGTTTTTTTGCGGAGGTTTCCTGGTTTCAAAAATATCGATTGATAGAAAATACGTAAAGAAAAAAGTCTTTGGTAGACCATAGTTGTTTTCCAAGGTAATCGATCATTTGTTGTTTGCATTGTTGGTATTCGCTCTTTATTTTTCATTTTTCAATTTTGTTTTTCCTAACTTAACATTTTTATTATTATTATTAGCATCGGATTAAATGGCAAATAAAGCTTTTGAAAATATCCATTTATCTACAGCAGTAGGTCTTAACGCACTGTTATATATCTCAATCAACTGTCGAACATGGATATTGATTATTTCCCAAAATTAAAGTCAATACTCCTAATTAGAACAGCCTTTTGGAAGCTATAAACAACTATCTGCTGCATCGAATGATGTAAAAGTCATCGATTTATCTTAAAAAAATAGATAAATAATTAGCAGTAGTTCGAAGACTAGTGCATTTGTTCTAAATAGGAGCACTTTTCCTAATTGAAACTGCAAACGAAGAACAAGCATAAAATTTTATAAATCACTTGATTCCGTTCCCGGGATTTCAAAATTTTCATTTCCTCCTGGAACAAAAAATGTTTCTCGTTCGACGAGAAATATTTATCTCCAGATTGAACTCTACATTATTTGCAATAACTGAGATGGTGTGCGGATGTGGGTGGGGTTGGGGTGTGGGTGTGGATGTGGGTGTGGGTGGGTGTCGATGTGTAGGTGTGAGTGTGGATGTGGGTATCGGTGTATGAACGATTGCTTACACTCACACCTTCACCCACCCACACCCGCGCCTACACCCACACCCTCACCCACCCACACCCTCACCCACCCATACCCACACCCACACCTTCACCCACCCACACCCGCGCCTACACCCACACCCTCACCCACCCACACCCTCATCCACCCACACCCTCATCCACCCATACCCTCACCCACCCATACCCTCACCCACCCATACCCACACCCACCCATACCCACACCCACACCCACCCACACCCACACCCACACCCCGACACCCACACCCCGGATCCGGGTTCGGATCTGGGTAGAAAAAATTTTGAATAATCGGACCCGGATCAGATTCTGGCTCCAAAAATCTTGGACCCGACAGGCTCTAGTAGCCACTAATATCATCAATTCTCAATATATATTCTGATTGTTATTTACAAATTCTTAGAAATGTACTTCGAATAGATCCTCATACAATGCGTTTCATTGGAAAAGGTCAAATAGTTGATATTAATAGTAAACATCTACTTGAATATGGTATAACAACAAAAGAAACTCGATCACAAATCTATTTCAATTAGAACTTTCTCTTAAATTAGATGATGATTCATATGAAAGTGCTGAAATAATTCCTTATTCTCTCCAAAATTATTGTTCAAATGATGAATAACAATAATTAATGAATTATTCAACGGATACAAAATAAAAACAAGTTACGTTCTTTCTTATTAACTTTTTATTTTCTTTTAAGAAAAAAAAACAAAACCAAAAGTAATGATAATTATTCTTGTAAAACAAGAAATAATTAATCATAAGAATTACATTCGTTCTAATGGTTGAATACCTAAAATTTCAAAACATTGTTTCAATACATTCGCTGTTGCTTCACATAAAAGTATTCGTCGATAATTAATTTGAATTTTACCAGTTGTTTTATCTTTTTCCACGCAATAACATCGATCATAAAAATCAGTAAATGTTGTTGCTAATTGATACATATATTCACATAAACCATGCATCAATAATTCATCAAGTACTCGTGTAAATATATCAGAATATTTAATAATACATTTAGCTAATTTTAATTCACGTTCTTCAATTTCGAAATTAAGGTCAATATCATGTATCATTGCTTTTAATAATGCATGATCAACACCAGCTGTTCGAGCAATAGATCTATTTTATATTTCAATAAATAAGATAACAAAAAAAATAATAATATTTATATTACCGAATTCGAGTATAAGCATAAAGTAAATAAGCAGCTGTATTTCCTCGATCATCAAGCATCTATAATTAAATAAGAAAAACAAAAATTGATTTGAAATTTCTTGTATTTTTCTTACTCGATCAAATGAAAATATATAATCAGAATTTCGATTATGCGATAAATCAACATATTTAATACAACCATATGCAACTGATTTTTGAGCTTTTTCAAGTTCTTCAAATGTTAATACCTAAGAACAAAAATTTAAAAACAATTGTTGAATAGAAAAGAGATTTTTACATTATGTCGATCTTTTTCTTGTAATTTAGCTATTGATCGTTCAATACCTTCATCAAGTAAATCTCGTAAACGAATTGTTTCACCGGATCGACTTTTTAATTTTTTGCTATGAGAAAAAAAAGCAGAGGATTAATCAATATTTCTTATTCGATATATATATAATAATGTATTCTCATACCCATCTTCACCAAGTACAACACCAAAACCAACATGATCCATTCGAACATTCTTTCCATCAGTCCATCCAGCTAATTTTGCTCCAGCAAAAATTAATTGCATATGAAGAGCCTTTTTTTTTTTTAATATAAAAGTCAAAATTCTTTTATTATAAAATGATTTACTTGACCCGAATCGATAACATAAATAAGCCAATCAGCATTTTCTTCAATTAGACGTTGTCTTATTGTTGCCATATCACTTGTGTCGTATGTAAAACTTCCATCAGTTTTAACAATTGTTAATGGAACATCAATTCCAGGTACAAACATTACTTGACGACCTTCTTCTAATTTTAATAAATCTATTTAGAAAAAAAAAACCAAAATAAAAATACTAATTTTCTTCTAAAACATTCTTATTCTTTTACTTTTCAATTCAAGTTCTTTAATAAGATCAATCATTCTGCTTTGATAAAAAGATTCACCTCGATGAATTATTTTAATATCAAGTTCTTTATAAATATATTCGAAATCTAAATTATTATTTAAAATTCATCAATAGACAACAAAATTTTATTTCGATCAAACCTTGTCGAGATACATCACATATGAGTTTCCATGCATGAATTATATTTGGATCAAATGCTTGAAGTTTAACAACACATTCATAAGCTCGTTGTTTAAAGTCAAGATCAGAATCAAAATGTTTTTTTGATTCCTAATAAAATTTCATTTTTGAATAAAATTAAACATTAAATTAATTAATTTTACTTTATAAAATGACAAAAGATCACTAATTGATGGTGATTTCGTTTTATATTCAGGATAAATATCTTGTAAGTGAGCAATAAGCATACCAAATTGAGTACCCCAATCACCAAGATGATTTAATCGAAGTACATCAAAACCAGCATATTCAAGAAGACGAGCAATACTATCACCAATGATGGTTGATCTATATATATATATATATATATATAGATAGATAGATAAATAAACAGTGCACATTTAATTTTAACATTCGATCGAAAGATCGTTAAAAAACAAGATTATTCATATTCAATTCTTTCAACTAAATCTACACATCCCATACAAGTCGACAAACATTCCCACATCTTCTATTTAAAATAGAACGATATGAGAATAGCTTTGGTTCAAAACAGAAAACATTTAGAAAGAAAAATGATTAAGAAACTTGATAAAAGTAGATTTTCGATCTTCATTAAGTATTGAAAAAATACCACAACATATTAACAAAAATCCACACGACTTTTATCAGCAAGCAAAGGATGGAATGCATTCTCGGGAAAAGTTCCAGATCATTGACAATCGATGAAAATGCATTAACTTAACAAAAGGCATCTATCAATTATGAGGAAGAAATTCATTGTTGTAGCTTCGAAATTTTTTTCCGTCAGATTTTTGCATGAGATATTACATCTTCAATCTACCGCTTTTTTTTTGTCTTTAATGAACTTACCGTAAATGTCCAACATGCATTTCTTTAGCAATATTTGGTGATGAAAAGTCAATAACAACTTTCGGCTTTTTATTTTCATTCTGACTTCTATGATTGCCAACCATATTTAAAACATTGGGTGGTAAAACACCTTTCAATAGAATATTGCGAATTTGTTTGGAAACAAATGTTGCAGAAATAGTAATATTAATAAAACCTGGTCCAGAATATTCAATCTGTTTAAAAAAAATGAAAAATCTTTATGTTGATAATCATTAAATTTTAACAAACTTTTCCAATCATCTCATGCTGAGGAAGATTTGCAACAATTATTTTGGCAACTTCTGTTGGTACAATTTTTTTGCCAGCTGCAGTTAATCTCTAAAACAAAAATCGAACATATATTTATTTATTTATTATAATTTCTTCTAACCTGAGCAATAGGCATAGCTGAATTGCATTGGTAATCAGTTTGTCGTCCAGGTACGACAACGACTGGCAAAGTTTGATCTTCGGGAAAAGCTATTCGAATAGCTTGTTCAAAAAGACTACTCAATGTGTTAGGATATATCATAATATATTTTATGAACAACTCTTGAAGTGATGTAACAAATAACAACCACTTGACAAACAATGAATCAATGAACTAAACTTACAATAAAGAAAAGAAGAAATATATATATATATATAAGTCTATGTAATAACTAATCAGAAGATCGTTAACCAAATGAAAAGGACGTAGAGGTTAGGGAACGACAGATGGCATTTCCTAACAATACTCCCCGTCAACAAAACAAAAAAGATGTTTCCGAACACTTGAAGTGATGCATGGAAACAACGATAATGTAAGTAATGAAGAAAGTAGAAAGAAAGGGAACGCAAAAAAAAGAAAAAAAATTGATCGGCAATATTTCCATTTACGATAATAAAACCGTAATTGAAAGATTTCATTTGGAAAATGACATCGAAATTTATGGTTATATGAAGAATCCCGTTGTTTACTAATAATCGTAAATGCAATATGATCGTATGTGTGATCCAGCATGAAATGTTAGAATTGAAAAATGTGGAGTATCTTCACAAATAGGAAGTTGTATAATGATGTTGTAGTTTTATCATTCAGATGCTGGTAGAAAATATGAAATTTAGACCCTGAATAAGTGTTGATGGCGGATGATCTGTATCATAATGTTTTTTATAATATGGATTCCAACCATAATCAGTGCGAACTTTCTTTAAGGGCCCCCTCTAAAATGAAATTTTTTTTTTCATGCATCTAATCATGATGGAAATTCCAGTGGAGGTGTATCTCAAGCTAGACACCTCACAGTAAAAATTTCAGCTCGATACATTGAGCCTACGAAGAGTTAGCATAAAGTTATGAGTCAAAATTTAGGTTTCTGTGCGTCCCAAATTTCTCCGCTATTTCAAATGCTAGAAAAGTCGGGCTGATTTTAAAGTGTAGCCAATATGTGGCGTCACAACTTAACAGAGCGGATTTTTCGATTCTCTCCTAGCTTGTGTTTTTAGAGAATATCTCTGATGAAATATGAAAAAGCGAATGGGGATAGGTTCAGAAAAGTTAGTTTCTTATAAAAATTAATGAAGAAATCGAAAAATCCGACTCTGTTAAGTTGTAGTGCCACATATTGGTTACATTCTAAAACCAGCCCGACTTTTCTAGCGTTTAAAATGGCGGAGAAATCTGGGACGCACGGGAACGTAAAAATCAAAAATCCTATTTTGAGAAAAAACCAAAACTTTTTAGAAAAAGCGTTATTTTCTCCTATGGGAGGTTCAGAAAAGCCTGTGCAATATCCTTAAATCTCATCATAAAATCAATAAAGTATAGTGCATTCGAAAGTAGACACTTAATTCTATGTAGCGAGCTATAAATCACAAAATCGACAAACTTGACCAAAATTGACATTTTTTATGAGGGCGGGGGGTCCTTAAAGCTCTAGATTTACGTGGTCGATGTTTAGTAGGCCATAAATATTGAATATCCTGTGGTACAACAGGATCAAGTAATAAATCATCAGCTATTAAACTACCTATATTTTCAACAAAAGGTGCAAAAATATCTCCAGCATTAGTTTTAACAGAATCCGATTTAATAACTGGTTCATCTTATTGTTTTAATTTATCCCAATTATTCGTTGCATCTGTATATCGTTGTTGAATGTTCAAATTGCGATCATTTGTGTTAAGTAACATACGTGAATAACGACCTTGTTTATGTTCATATATACATTGATTTTTTTAATCTTCAAATGATTCGGTTCGATTATGATTAAATAAATCTAATTGACTATCTTCGTTATCTTTGTCCTTTTCTGATAGTGGGGAAGTTAAAGAGATGTTTAATCAAATGGAGAGAGGGGTATGCAACATATTCTGCTCTTGTGTGATTTCTTCCAATCGCTCTTTAAATATGAATTGATGTCGATCATCATCTTCAGGTTAATTATTGACGGGATTTATTAAAGCATGTGCAAGTTGGGATCGCCTAGATGTATGAGCTTGATTATTCATGAAACGATGTTATGAGGAAAGACGAGCTTGTGGGGATTGTGATTGTTATAATGACGATAGTTATCAGAAGGTGATTGGCATGATGGATTTTTTGCGGATGAAGATAATTTAGAAGCAGAGTTTCTAATAGAAATCTGAAGCAAAGAGTCCAGTTACGTTGTACTTTCGCAAACAAAGTGCAAGTTGACACTCTGTTTTTTTCAAACAAAGTATCTATCAATGAAAAAACGACTGCAAATTGTATTTTTGATCTAAGATATAAAGTTTAGAATCGGAAGAAGCTTTCTTCGATATATATGAACAGTACAAGTGTGGACGTTTACATTACAAAAAAAAATTAATATGAAGATATAAACTGTTAATATACTTTCTAAGTCTTTTTAATGCACGGTGCGTAAAAATGTTTTTCCGGAGGAGTAACACTATACTTTCA